GCGGGGTAAAGACGCGGAGACAAGGAATTGTAGACAATCCCCACCAATCCTTTCTTCCGATGAAGAAAAGTTATGTTTATAAATGTGTGTGTGTGCGTGTTTGTGTCTGTTCTTCATCCTCAATCTTGGAGGCCTCGTGGGGGCCAGCTAGGGATGTCAGGGGGGCCCTCTGGGGGATCTGCTCGGGGCTTATTGGGTATTGCGCCCTTTGGGGGAACCTCTTGGGCCGTCCTGGGACCCTCTGGAGCGTCCTGGGGCGCTCTTAATGGCATCCTTGGCCGTCTTGGAGCAATCTTGGAGGTATCTTGGGCCGTCATGTGCGGTCGGAAGCACGGAACATCGACAACGCTCAAATCCTTCAACAACCAGTCAATGTTGCCTCGGCACCCTCGTGGGGGAGCCTCTCTGGGCGTCTGGAGGGCCTCTTGAAGCAGTCTTTGAGCGCTCTGAGGGAGCTCTGAGGGCACTCGCGAGTCGTCGTGACAGCCTCTTGAACCGCCTGGAGGCCCAGAGGCTAAATTCAATTACTAGAGGCCTCCTAGATAGGGGTCGGAGGATCGCGCCGCATCGGCGATGCGTCGGTGATGCATCGGCGGTGCATCGGCGATGCACTAGCGATGCATCGGTCACGTCGGCGATGCGTCGGCGACGTCCGTGTGGAGAACGTCGGGCTCAGCAGGGAGCCGCATCGCCGATGCATTGGCGGTGCGGCGCGACCCTCCGACCCCCTCTGCTCGGACCCCATCTAAAAGGCCTACTTCAGATTTCGTAATAAAAGGGAGGGGGTCTGGACCCTCCAAGACAAGCCATTTCAGACCTCCCCCGTGGGAGAACCCTCCAAAACATCGTCCCCAGACCCCCCCAGGCCCTCCAAGATAGCCTGGAAGAGACCCCCCCCGAAATGAGACCCCCCTCCCTTTATTATGAAATCTGGAGTTGGGAGGAGGAGGATGAGAAGGAGGAGGAGGAGGAGGGGGAGGAAGATGAGGAGAGGAGGAGGGTACGGAGGAGACGGAGGAGGAGGGGAATTAGGAAGGGAGGGAAGGACGGAGGGAGGGAAGGGACGGAGGGAGGAAGGAGGGGGAGGCGAAGGAGCAGGCGGGTGGAGGAGGAGGAGGAGGAGAAGGAGGGATAGGCAGGAGGAGGAGGAGAAGAAGGAGGAGAAGGAAAAGGAGGAGGGGAAGGAGGAGGAGGATGGGGAGCAAGAGGAGGAGACGGAGGAGGAGGAGGAGGAGGAGGAGGAGGAGGAGGAGGAGGAGGAGGAGGAGGAGAGGGATAAGGAAGAGGGGAAGGAGGAGAGGGAGGAGGAGGAGGGAAAGGAGGAGAGGAATGGGAATGGGAATGTCTGTTCACTAAGTGAAAAAAAGGAAGAAAAAAGCCTTATCCCAGGGAAGTATCCTTCCGAGCAGAGGCCAAGGGAGTTGGAGCGGCGCTCCGGGGCGGCCTTCGTCGGTCGCGGTCGTCGTCCGAGTAGTCGGGGGAGCGGTCCCTCGGAGGCGCGGCGCCGACGGCGCCCCGCCAACGCGGTGCGGCGGGGCCCCCGCCCCCGGGGGGTGATGAACGACGGCGGCGCCGACGGCGACGGCGCCGACGACGACGGCGACGGCAGCGACGACGACGAAGACCACGACGACGACAACGACGGCGATGACGGCGACGGCGACGGCGAACGACGGCGGCGGACGACGACGGCGACTGCGTATGGCGACGACGACGACGACGACAGCGACGACCACGACGACGAAGAAGATGACGACGATGACGGCAGAGGCGGCGGCGGCGGCGGCGGCGGCGCGGCGGGGTGCTGCTGTGGCCTCGGCCAAGATTTCGGGGGGCTCCGGCGGGGGCGACGAGAGAGCCCCAGGAGTTCGGGCAGGGCTCGAAGCCCAGCCCTGTCAGGGCCACGTCCAAACCCGCGGAGCGAAAGACCCTGGGGAATGCTCAAACCATGCCCACCTTGGTCGGATGTTTACCATCAGCCGCGAGGAACAGAAACAACTCGTCCGCGGCGCCCGCGGTCTGGGCGGCACCGGCCTTCTCCGCCGCACCAGCCGCGCGACGCAGATGCGACGCTGGGCAGGCCAAAGGACAAGCGCATCCATGCGCGCGCTGCTTCCTAAGCGCGCTCTAGTCGCTCTTCGAAACAGACACGCCGATGGTCACCTCCCCGCGACAGCCTTCAGGGCCAGGCTCAAAGGACATGGCACCTAGCTTCGCCGTGGGAACATCAATCTCGCGCATGAGCCAGAAGGTGAGGACCGAAGGCCAGGAATGGCTCGAGTGGTTCCGCCGAGCCTGGCGGGCCGCCTAGCGTCACCACCGCCGGCGCTGAGGCCGATGCGCAGTCCCGATCCGCGAACGGGGCCTGTTGGGGCGGGCCCTGTTTTTTTTGGCAGCTGCGCGTGGCCGCAGCAAGCGTTTGGTCGAGTTGGTCCGTCCACGCATGTCCCAACCTGGCGTGCTCTTGCTTCGTCTTCTCCAGGTCATTGGCCGCGCCGCGGTAGCCGGCGGCTTGGAGGAGCGCCGCGGCGTGCCCAATCGGGCGCGGCTCGACATGCCTAGCCGAAGCCCGCTTCTGGCCATCGTTTCCTGCGGAGAACCTCTGGGGGCGCAGTCTTCGGCGCGGCGCGCCTGGCCTCGGAGGGCCCGAACTTCCAACGGGGCACTGACGAGCCCCTAAAGTCGGAGGGCGAGCCGCTGAATAGCCCCAGCGGGGGTTCCCACCCCCCCCCCCTTTTCCCCGATCCGTCGTCGGGGACCCCCCCCCCTTGTCCCACCCTTTCCCGGTCCGGCGTCGGGGACCCCCCCCTCATTCCCTCCTTTTCACGGTCCGTCGGCGGGGATCCCCCCCCTCTGCCCCCCGTTCCAAAGGGGGAGAAAGGGGGGTCCGACCCCCCCTCTTCCCACCTTTGGCCGCCAAATTCGAGCCCCCCGCCCTTTCGCCACGGCGCCCCTGGGCTCCGGAACCCGACCCCTCCCACCCTTAACGCTACCACCCCGACCACATGAAACCAGAACCTCAAACTCTAACCATAGCCCCAAACAGCACTCAGTACTCATCATTCACTACTCAGTGACCACTACTCACTACTCGCTACCCACTACTCATTGCTCACTACTCCCGACTCCCGACCCACTAATCACAGCACGCTACTCGCAACTTTGCGTAATTCAGTGCCCACTACTCACTACTCACTAATCACTACCCACTACAAACTACTCACGGCCCACTACTCACAACTCCCAACTCACTACTCAACACTCGGTATCCACTACCCACCACACAATACTCACTACTCACTAAACATTTCTCACCACCACCTACTCACTACTCATTAATCACGAATTATATCACCACCCATTGAACACTTCCCACTACTCGCTACTGGGTACTCACAATTCACTACTCAGTATTCAATACCCACAACTAACTACTCACTATCCGCGTCTCGCTACTCGCTACTCCCTACTCCTGACACAGTACTCACTGTTCACTAATCACTACTCACTACTCGCTACCCCCTATTCGCTAATCGCTACCCGATACGCAATATTCAGTACCCACTACGCACTACCCAATACTCCCGACTCCCGACTCCCTACTCACTAGTCACACGTCACTACTAACTGCTCACTATTCACCACCCACTACTCACTATCCACGACTCACTACTCACTACCCACGACTCTCTATTCGCTACCCCCTACGCACTACCCACTACTCACTACCCACTTCTCACTTCGCACTACTCGGTAATCACTAGTCCCTACGCACTACTCTCTACTCAGTACCCACTACTCACTACTTGCTACTCCCTGGTCGCTACTCACTACTCCCGACTCCCTACTGACTACTCAGTTCGCACTACTGACTACTCACAATGCCCTACTCGCTACTTACTACTCACTACTCGCTACCCTCGGCTGGCTACACACGACCCACTGCCCACTCCCCACTACCTACCCACTCCCCACTACCCACTACTCACTACTCACTACTCACGACTCACTACTCACGACTCACTACTCGCAACTCCCTACTCACTACTCTCTACTCGCTACTCACTACTGACTACTCACCCCTCGATACTCACTACTCACAATTCCCTACTCGCTACTCACTATTCACTACTCGCTACTCCCTACTCGCTACACACTACTCAATACCCACTCCCCACCACCCACTACTCACTGCTCACTAATCACTACTCACTACTCAGTACCCACTACTCTCTACTCACTACTCACTCCTCACTACTATCTACTATCGCGCCGGGGGGGGGGTCGGAAAACCCACCCCTCCCCTTCAAGGAGGGTGGGGGGGGGTTCGGAACCCTCCCCCCCTTAAGAGGGGAAGCGGAGGGGGGTGGAAAATCTCACCCCCCCTTTTGAAGGGGGGGAAGGGGGGTGGGTGGGTGGGTTCTGCGAGCACCGACTCCCCTTGTGTATTCAGGGTCATCCACTGGCGCGCTTTCCTGAAGTCGCCATCGCCCCATCGACGGATGCCGCAGCGCCGGGAAGCATGTCGCCACAGGGCCGCCCTGTCGCCACTTGGAGGGCTCGCGCCGCGGGCTGCGCCGCCAGCGGCGGCGCTACAGGTCCAGGGTGGGCCGGGATAGCCGAGAACTGGCCGCGGCAGCGCCAGCCTCTTATCCGGGGTCACCAGCCGGAGACCCGACAGAGCAGGATCCGAGCCCCCCCGCCTGGGGCAATCTCAATTCCACTTTTCCGCACCGCGGCCAGCGCTGGCGGGGGGGGCGGCGGCTGCGTGTCCCGCGGAACAGGGCGCATGGCAGGCCGCGCCCCCGCTGACTGCCAGCGAACTGCCCAGCTAGCGCGCGGCGGGGCGCGCGCGCGAGCAAGTACAAATACGCACGTGCATGCACGGGGCTCTTCCCCCAATAGAAGAAAACGCGCTCAGGAGTGCGGGCGCAGCGCGTCTTTGACGCCCAGCGGCTGACGCTGCGCGTGCAGGCGCGCTCTCGGCCTGTGGTCTTGACCCGCAACACTCGCAGAGCCAGGCCATTCGCGTGCGGGACCGTAGCCTGCGGCGCCCCGGAAAGGAAACGGTGGGGGGTGGCCGCCGCGGGAGACCCGGCTCAGCGCGTCCGCGAGCTTGTTCTGCTCCGCCCAGACTTGGAGGCCATCGAAAGCACGGCCCACACGGGCCAGCTGGAGGGCGAGCTCCCTGGCCACATCGTCGATGATTGTCCAGTCTCCACGTAGCCGGACCAGCGCTGCAAGCGCGCCTTGCGCGTCACCCGCGAGGGTGATGATCCGCCGGACCTCTTTGGCAAGATCCACAGCTTCGCCGTGAGGAGCATCGCAAATGCTTCCCACGACGCCTGACCAGCATGGCTGCCGACCTGCGCGCGCAAAGGCTCCTCGCCGGCTCGGCGGGCCGACGGCGATGCCCGGCAGCGACAGCCGCCGCCCCGTAGAGTCTGTCGACAAGGCACGCGCGGTGCGTGAAGTGCACTGGCGCCTCCGTTGCGAAGGCGACCAGCCACTGCAAGGATTACCCACCTGCTTAAAAGAGAGGACGGGCTGGTTTCTCTTCCGAGCCTTGCGGGTTGCTCTTCCGAGCCTTGGAGGGCCCCCCCCAGACATGCTGGACAAACGGCCGGACCCGGAACATCAGGCCGCCGGTCCGGCCTCCGCGGCCGACCAGCTGCCTCACCTTGGCCACAGGGGGCACTGGCTTTCGTTCCTCCAGTGGGTCGGCACACGTGTCCCTGACGAGCTTGGCGCACGGCCGCCTCGGCAGTGGTCGCGGCGCCAGTCCAGGAGACCGAGATGCTGAAGCTCACCTTCTTCCGCGAAGCCCTCAAGCTCAAGAGTTGCCGTAGGACAAATAAATTAAGGAACTATCTCTTGACTGCACGTGCTGGGCCCGACATAGTCAAGATAGGATCGTACGCGAAACACTGGATGCGGCCACCCTTCCCGCCGAGCGTCGCCTGTGTGAGGCGCGTCAAAGAGGTCCGGTGCCAACTCCAAAGAAGACAATGTCCTAAGATACCCTCCGCAGGCGCATCCCGCAAGGTGTTTCTGGGTTTCAAGTCCGTTTTCAAGAGCGCGAGAACGCCCTGCAACTCAGCGACGAAGTAGTACACCTGATAAAAAAGGGGGTCCTTGGCGCTTGCGAAAGTATGCAACGTATCCAAATAAACGTTGTGGAACCGCGGCGGCACGCACCAACGGAACAATGTGAGCGGACCGTGCGTCGCCTCCAGGGCGCCCCGGTCAGGGTGCCGCATGGCGTACCCCTTGTCGAGCTCCTTCTGGAGTACGGCGTCGGCCTCCTCCCCGTCATCCTCGTGGCCGGTGATTCCCGTGGCCGCCACGGTCCACGCAATGCTGGAAGAGGGCATCGAGCTTCTCCCTGGGCGGCCCCGCGGAAAGTGGGTTCGGTCTCTGCGATGACGCCGGAAGGCAGGATCGGAGAGGGACCTGCTTCTCCAGAGCCCCCGCGGCGGCCAGAAGGTCCTCCAGCATCTCGCCCTGGGAGCCCTACCGGCCGTGGTGTTCGGTCGGGCATGTCCCCCTACAGGCGGATTTCGAACGCACTCTCGCGGGCGGCGGCCACCTCCGCGCCGACCGCCGTGCAGCGGGGCAGATTCCCCACGCGCCCTTTGTGCGGGCTGCGGAGGCCGCCGATGCACGAAGATGCCCCTCTTTCCCGCCGTTGCCTGGCAGCCTCCTCCTGCGCGGCGCCCGCCTGCCCAGCGGAGACCCCGAAGGTGGTGGCCTGCTTCGCGGCCAGGTCCGGCTGCGCGCTGGGTTCGGCCCTGTGCGCCAACGCCAGAGCGCTGCACAGCCCTTCCGGATAAGCTGCCGCCAGTGTCGTCTCCCACACGCCGTCGCCCTCGGGTCCGGTGCATTTCCCCGAACACCAGGGTGAGCATGCGCGGGTGGCCCGGGGCACTTCTCGGCAATGGCGCCAGGGAAGGGGGCGTTCGTCAGCCAACGAGTCGGCTTCCTACACTGGCAGCCAAACGTGTACTGATCGCCAACCGCGCGCACGGCCCCCGCACCGCGGAGCAGGGAGGCGGCCGGCCCGCACTGCCAAACGCCAGAGGATTCGGGGCTCTCGGAAGGAAGCCATATGCCCGCCATGGCCTGGGCACCACACAGACTTGCCGCTCTGGCCACGAAGACGTTGCTGTCGAGGACGCGCTGCGGCTTTGGGCCACTGCTGGACGGTCGGGTTTGTCTACCTGGCCTCCGTGCCCTTCGATACCTCCGTGCAACCTGGCGACGCATGCTCCAGCTTACTCGCCGCTTCCGGATCAGAGTGAGAACCCGTCGATGGTGATCATGGTTCGGAAAGTCCACAACCTGGTCGCGGAGGCTGGCCGCGTCCTCGAGGCTCCGCGCCGAAATAAACCGATGGAGGTGCAGCCGCGCCGCTGCTGCAGTCAGCCCCCCACCGCGCGCCAAGAGCTCGAAGAACTTCGGCCTCTCCTGCGGCCGCCGGGACCGCCTCCCCGTTCGAGCCGAACCCGTGCTCGG